TCCATAAATGCCTCAAAACGAAATGCACTTATTCTAGTTAACGAAGTGATTACAGAACTGGCGCAAATATCGACAAAAACTTCCACAAAAAATCAATTTTATGAATATAGGGAGTGAAATCAATTCTGTAATGCACGAAAAAAAATTAAATGTTGAAAAAATACTCACATTCACTAGGACAATCGATATTCTCTCCCGATGCTAAAAATCCCATGCCTTGTAGCTTCATTGAGAACAGTAGAGGGCGTTATGGGTAACTGTATGCTGTGGAAGCTCATGGAGCCATTAATATCTCCAGCACTCTTCGTTTGCCTCTGAAGCTCCTGAAAGACGGAGTGCGACGTGGACGCCCCAGATTTTTACTTTATTTCTTGGTTTCACTGGCTAGTGTGGTTCGGATTGTGTACTTCTGGATGGGGAACAATGGTTGGGGAAAGGATCGAGGTGGTCTGCTAGCTGGGGGTTATAGGGTAATTGATCTCTGCTGCTTCACAATGTGCTTCAGGATGTAGGCTGCTGGGTGAGCCATCAGGTGCGCCAAGAAGGGCTGTGTCTCGGCTACCGCGTGGATAGTTGAGGAGGACTGATCGCCGGGTTCAAAGTGGTCTGTGTTCCCCTAATTAACAATTAAATAAAATCATTGGAATTTCATTCGTCCAATTAACTCAATTTTTTACCTCCAAGAAAACCATTTTTCTCTCAATTTTTGATGACTCTGAAGTTAGCAACTTTCCAATAAGACGAATACGTTGACACGGCATATCTGGTGGAAAAATCTTAGGAAATTGAAAAAAAAAAATTAGTCGGTTCGGTACAACTAGATCTATTCGTGAAGTGCCCCAGAAATGTTTGTTGATGAATTAAAGGACGAAAATATTGATTCATAAACTATGAAAAATCAATAAATTGATTGACACCGAATATCTTCACCAAATTTGAGTTTAGATAAAAAAATCAAATTCTCACTTTCGGAGCTCCACAAAATGATGTCGTGATGTTTTTTAAAAACTATTTGCCATCCCCCATGGCCAATATATTCGCTGATACTCAATGCAACTTTGTCAATTCCTGTCAAATCTGTTAATGATTAAATCGAAAAAATCAAAATGATCACGTTTTTTAAATGGAAAAATCTTCTCGTGATGATTTTTAGTTTTTTTTTTGACAGTTGTTTCATATTTTATGCACTGTTTATTTTATGATGAAACATTGACAGCGAATATTATGGAGAGTGATTAGTGAATATGCAAAAAAAAGAGTGCATATTCCAAAATATCTCGAAATCTAACCGTCAGAACAATCAAATAAACAATCCTCAGCGCACTAGCCATTGGAAATCCTAAAACTCCGAGAATAGAAGGCTTCAACACTGGATATTTTCACTAATTATTATGCGATTGGGAGGAGAAAAAAAATACGACTCGTCGTAGTTGACATCTTCATGTGAGTGTCGTTTTTATTCCTAGTTTTGCAATTCGCAGATGAAAGATAATTNAATCACTAAAAATCATGGAATTCAACGATAGTGAAGCCTTAGAGGCAATATTACGTTGTGTGGAGTGTATTGGTGATTTGAAGGATGGACCTACAAACAAAGCACTTTTCAACCAAATTTGTTCTTACCTCAAGATTCGAAAATATCAAAGAGAGAAATTTCGCACGAATTTAGCTTTCGCTTGGCGTACGAATTTGCGTGGTTTGAGGACAAAGGTGGAAGATCATCTGAAGAAGGATAAGAAGGGACCCCAGATATCTGATTCTCGTGAGGAATGCTCTGACGAAGAGGTGAGTGATGACTTATTATCGAGATCGGAAAATGAAGCCTCCAGACAATCGATAATCAATCGAAAATTCGTCAGAAGAGAATACCAGTATGTTGGTTCAATGAATTTGAGGAACGAAATTGTTATTCTCGACGGACAATTATTTGTGAGTCGATTGCATCATATTTTGAGGTCAGATTTACCGAGGACTGTAGCCATAAAGTGCACTCTGCAATTTCACGGTAATAGGCGTCGTTCGGATGACAAATTTGCTGATTTTGCATCGTGCAACCAGCCCAATTGCTCTAAAAGATTTCAATTTATTGGTGAGGTACAGAAACATCACACTTTGATTGATATATATGTAACACCAGGTAATACTAAACACGACTTACCCCTTGTGTATCAATTAAAAGGGGATGAGCGGGAGAAATTGAAGGAAAAATTGCATTTCGCAAAGCCCCATACAGTCCATGAGGAGCTTACTCGTGGAATTGATAAGACCTTGGCAGCTCGTGATAAAAATTATCAATTTTCCCATTCTCTCGGTATCTTGCAGAAGGCTAGATCGGAGAAAAAATCAGAAAATAACCTGCATCCCAATGATATCACGGATATTATTTTGAACATTGCTAATGAGGCAGGTAATCATAAATACATACGACAATTCATCGCTCCATTTAAAATTTATTTGGGATGTGAAGAGCAGATAACTTTTTTGAGAACTCATCCCAATTTGACGTTGTATTTCGATGCAACTGGGTCTGTCGTAAGGAAGCCATTCCCTAATTCAAAGCGAGTCTACTATTACTCTGGTGTTGTGAATGTTAATCATAAACTCTTTCCGATTCTCGAGTATGTGACAAACGATCACACCACCCCATCGATCAGAAATTTTTGCCATTTCATGAAGAGTTACTGGGAAGGGGCGAAGGTGATATGGCCTCCATTCAATTCGTTCGTCACTGACTGGTCTTGGGCCTCTATTAATGCCATCATGGGAGCCTGGAATGGTTTAACAGTTTTGAAATATCTCCAACTGGTTTATAATCAACTCCAAAATGACATTCCCTTCGCACCACACATCATTCGACATTTTTTATGCTCTGCGCATTTCATGAAAATGATTTCGAAGTGGTTACACGAAAACAAAATTGATGATAAAAGGAATCGTATATATTTGGAAGCGATTGCTGTGATTTGCCACACTGTTAAAAAAGTTTGTAAAATTATTATACTTTTGCTGCATCAAAGTGTGGTAAAATTACAAATTCGATGGTAGAATCGGTATTTACTATATTTTTGTATGAATATTGCAGTCAATATGTGGAATTTTACTACAATATATAGTGAAATTACTACAGGGGATTGTAAAATTATTATTCTCGTGTATGAATTTATTTGTATTTGAATTTTCGAATACAATTACCGGGAAAATTGTACTTTTCCAATATTTTTGCAAGACACACGTGTATTAAAATTACAATTTGTCCTTCAAATTTACAACAATAATTTAAGCGTTCCTTCAGAACTGAAAATTTCAAGTACAAACGGGAAAATTATTATACTTTTTCGAAAATTTTAGGATACTATCTTTTAATTTTATAATTTTTATTGCTTCTCAACATCTTTTGAAATTTAATTTTTAACCAACAAATAATAGAATTTCAGTCAATTTTTGAAATCTCAAACAATAGACTTTGGCTAGGCGTAAACGAAATCATAAATTATACTAAATAGTTGGGAGAAACGTTAAAATAAAACGTAGAAATAAAATTTTGAACAATAGTCCTCTTTTTTCTTATAGTTTTCACGTGAGGAAAATTCCCCATTTTTTGCTACCCAGTTACGGCATCTGCAGACAGAGTCCTGGTGGTCATCACATGTGCGCGTAACGAGACCGCGTCATCCTCCGGTCCGCTTTCCTTTTTTTTGTACATAGACTTTTCCGTATGCCTTTTCTTGGCCAATTGCAGTCTGGGGAAAATACTTTCCAACCAATACAATTTTAGAAATTCCTTCCAACCCTGAATTGCAAGGCCCATATACCACCTCATGAAAATCTTAAACTTTAGTCTTCTCCGAACAGTTCACAGATTCGTCTCGTAAACTTGGTGATAAAATTTTCTTATAAATGAAAAAGATCTTTAAATTCATTAAGAGAACGTTTTTCTTTCAATCTCGAAAATTTCAACGAAAATGCTTTTGAAACCCCAATTTTATGAAACTGCCGATCTTTTCTTCTAATACGTTATTACCACAGTGAACAGTTCATTATTATAGAGTGACTTATTATGGATTTTTGTGAGTGATATTATTGGGAAGCTGAGAATTATACTGGACGCTGTAGCGGAACAACGCAGGTAAATAAAAATTTCCTCCATCATTCGGGTAAAAAAGATAACAATGAGTTCTGAAGTAAGTTTTTAGACATCTCGCAAGTAGATTCCTTTCAATTCCCTTTAATTTTTCTCAAGTTTGACATATTTTAGGATTTTTCATTTCTTTGTTCATTCGGTTTTTCCAGAAGAGAATGTTGTTCAGCTCGAGAAACAATAAAGCCTGAAAACATACATAATTTTTTTTTCTCCGAATATTTTGCTTTGTTTCAAACATAATTTTGCCACGGTTTCAGTTCTATTATCGACAATTTGGAAGGCTAGAATTCGATTTTTTCTTAAAAATTATTTTTCCGTTGAAGACAAAAAAAAACCATAGGTACAGTCCAACCTCTACGCGAGATACGCCAGAGACTGTAGAATTCCCAGAACTTGTCTTTTATTTCGCCACTACTCTGTCGAGGGGAAAGGGGGGACAATATTGTAGCCCAAGTGGATCTTTTCATCATGAAAAAAAGACTGCTTTTGTTGTAATCTTGTAGTGATTCCCAGTCCGAATACATCATAGGTGCCGGGAGTCATAGAAATTCATTTAGCCGAAGAAAAAAAAATTGATTTGTTCTGAGGTATTGATATCCTGTACTCACCGGCGATATATACAGTCCTTAATTAGTCATCACACTCTTATATGGTTCCCGCGTAGTGTATAACATATGAAATACAATGAGACACCCTGTACAGAGCCCGTGAATGTAACTATCGCAGCTTCATCTAATGTAGAGATTGGACTGTTAGTACACCGAATTAATAAACATTGAAATCTATATTTGTTTCCTTCAGGCATCATAATGTTCCAGTGCAGGTTCTGCGATTACTCGACAAATAAATTCGGGACTTTTCAAGCCACAGAAAATTACATGCAAGTTTGAATGGCAATTTCTTCTGTGGATATAATCGAAATTCCATTGATATCAGTCATATTTCGACTCATCGTTCTTCATTTTCAAGAAAAAGATGAGTTATTTCGATTTGAAGAAGTGAGTATGACCAGAGTGCTTCATATAGAATAATTGTCCTTGATTAATTGGCCTGTATTAACTCATTTATAAATTCGTTTTTTCAGGAGAACTTGACGGATGAACAACTCCTGGAAAACATTCCGAACCTCACTCCTGTTCTTGTCATAAAAGGTAAACATAATGTCGTTGTGAACCAGATTTGCGATCCATAATGACATCCCAGGCAATAATATGCTATTTCTCATTCTCAGGGCGATCACTTTATGACGAGACTGCAACACACGCAGTGGCACTGGACAAGAAAATCTTGATCCCAGTGAACGGAGTTCTTGATGGAATTTTATTGCTGTTCTCCCTTTACTACGTTTTCAGAGTTCTGTACCCAGACACACTCTCCCGTACTTTGGAATTCATTCAGAGGTATTTTTTCAAAGAAATATATGTAGATACGAATCATATTTAGAGAAATAATAATTCATAATTGTTGAGTCATTCGGAAATTCCTGATTCATCTGTCGTTATTGCCAAAATGCTTATTTCACAATATAAAATATGAAATTCTGCATTCCAGATGTTTGCTCAGAATGAATCCCAAAACTGGACACAAGAGAGCATCAAAAAAACAGAAGGCAACGCCTTTTGACCTGAAAGTCAAGAAATTCATCGATGGACTCCAGCAATATATAGAACATCCCTAAAAGCATGAAGCTCACCATATCAGCATATTTTGAACGGAGGAAATTAAAATGGGAAATCAATGAATTATGCTGAAAAAATTCTTGCTAGATCTTTGCTAGGGATAGTTTGAGTGCCATTATTATTTCGACTAATTTCAGTCAGATTCATGATGAATTTATGTGCAATTTCCATTTAACAAAAATAATTATGAAACATTATGAAATAATTTAATGACTTTTCCGAATATTAATGGATTGATTTTACTTTCTCAATACTTTTTCTTAATAAATTTATTGGTGTTGATCGTGAGAATTGTAATGTTTTGTTCATTATTCATATTTGAAAATTATTTTTAAAAAAAATCCCAATACCTACATGAGAATATCCGAATATAACTATGATTTTTACCATACAATTTTAAATAAAAATTATTGCACTCAAGTAGTAAAATAGTAATTCCGGTATGAGAAAATTACTACAGTCCTATGTAGCAAAATTCTGATAATCTCATTTAAGTAAGTTGGAAAATTACCACAGGTAAATGTAGTAAATTTACAACACGAATGGAATAGAATTGCTCTTCTTATGTAGTAATTTTACAATATTCGTGTATGCGAGTATTCCTTTTTTTTCCTAGAAAATTCTCATATGATAACTGTAAAAAAAGTGTTGTAATTTTACCACACTATGTGTGAATAAAACTTCCAACATTTTTGTTAGAATTTCGGGTCAAATTTTTTTAACAGTGCACAGTCATGATCTAAGCCTGATGACAACGAATGTTGGAGCTTTATTTACGATCCTCGATTCTCCTATTGAAACGACTGGAGTTATTGAAGCTTTCGAAGCACTTGCCAAATCCTCAGAACCTTATCGTGCAGGCATCGATGAAGTTCTCACCACTCAAGATGATATTGAGGACGAACACGACGCTGAACCAGGGCCCATGTACAAGCAGAGCCCTTTCTTCTTACATTTCCACAGTATTCGTGAGACAGTTAAGAGTAACATCGAAAGCTGCAAACAACGAGGGAAACGCAATCAATACCAATCGTTGGAATTCGCTGATCATTTACTCAAAAAAATTCTTCCCTATGCTCCTCTCTGGTCGGTCCTCGTTGTTCGTGAGAAGAATCACTATGTTAATACTTCCGCTAAAAACCGTTTCAAGATCACGAAACTCCAGGGCGAGAAGAATATTAAAGTTTCTAGGTTTATAAGTCGAACTTACGATCACGTGGTGGCAGTTCACACCGAACTTGGATTGCCACCTCCAAAAGTTTGCAGTAAAGGGAATAAGAAGAGAGTGAACGAGCCAGACAATGACGAGTCTCGAGAATATTGGAAGTGTGGATCTTCTCAGGGGAAAAAAGCGAGGACCAATTACCACCAGGCAACATCTTTTAAGAGAATTGCAAAGCAACAGATGCTGAAGAAGTTGCAATTCCATGAGAATCATACAATTGCAACTACAAATTACTATTGCCAGTCTAGACCACCACGCTCGTTTTTTGTGGCATTAACCAATGCTCTTCACAAACCAACTGCAAACGTTTTGATCATGTCCGAGGATTACCAGGTTCTTTTCGAGAAGGGGTGGCTGAGTAATAATATTATTGACTACTGGGCAGCCATAACGATAAGGTCCTGTGAACACAGTGACGACGTGGCTTACGTTCCCTGTGAAATATCTACACATTTAACTCGTAGAACCACGAAGAATGGGGAGCCTTTGCCTCCAAATTTCTATAAACAGTTCGGTAGCTCATGGGACGGGAAATCATCGATTTTTCTCCCCCTGAATATTGGTAGCTGCCACTGGGTACTGATACATGTCGATGTAACCCAATCCCTAATTTATTTCCTTGATCCTGGTAAAAACGGTATGAGCAGACAGGAGAAAACATTCGTGAACAATTTCATCCAGTGCTACAAGAAGGTAAAATTCTTCAGAACTGTAAAAATAGTTATGAATTAATAAATATTAATTAGTCATTGATTTACAGGTCTTTCCAATGTCACAAAAGGAATGGACTGTGGAAGTGCCTCCTCATCCGCAGCAGACGGATTCATACAATTGTGGAGTTTTTGTACTGCACTACATCCGCGAGATTCTCATTGGGAATATTCACCAGATTGATGCGCTCATCAATCCGGATGAAAGGCGAAGGGAAATAAGGGAGGGCATTTTGGTGAACTCAGCAGACGTTGGTGACCTTTGTCTGTATTGCGGGAGGGATGAATCGATGGTGAGGGAACAGACTTGGGTCCAATGTGGACGGTGCGAAAGGTGGGCCGAATTTTCTTGCCTCGATTATCTCAACATGAATGAGGAGGAATTGAGTGACGACAAATCCATTTTTAATTGTGATCTCTGCACCGAATTTTTCTCATTAAGTTGAAAGTGAATTAGGAGAGACGCAGCAATGACTCGCATTCTAATTTGATCAATAATTATCGCCATTAACGCCATTCACTCAGATTTTGTTGATAATTATTGCTAAATGTAAATAAGTTGAATGTAAATATGTAGGCATTATCAATTTGAATTATCTTTCATCTGCGAATTGCAAAACTAGGAATAAAAACGACACTCACATGAAGATGCCAACTACGACGAGTCGTATTTTTTTTCTCCTCCCAATCGCATAATAATTAGTGAAAATATCCAGTGTTGAAGCCTTCTATCCTCGGAGTTTTAGGATTTCCAATGACTAAAGCGCTGAGGATTATTTATTTGATTGTTCTCACGGTTAGATTTCAAGATATTTTGGAATATGCACTCTTTTTTTGCATATTCACTAATCACTCTCCATAATATTCGCTGTCAATGTTTCATCATAAAATAAACAGTGCATAAAATATGAAGCAACTGTCAAAAGAAAAAACTAAAAATCATCACGAGAAGATTTTTCCATTTAAAAAACGTGATCATTTTGATTTTTTCGATTTAATCATTAACAGATTTGACAGGAATTGACAAAGTTGCATTGAGTATCAGCGAATATATTGGCCATGGGGGATGGGAAATAGTTTTTAAAAAACATCACGACATCATTTTGTGGAGCTCCGAAAGTGAGAATTTGATTTTTTTGTCTAAACTCAAATTTGGTGAAGATATTCGGTGTCAATCAATTTATTGATTTTTCATAGTTTATGAATCAATATTTTCGTCCTTTAATTCATCAACAAACATTTCTGGGGCACTTCACGAATAGATTTAGTTGTACCGAACCGACTAATTTTTTTTTTTCAATTTCCTAAGATTTTTCCACCAGATATGCTGTGTCAACGTATTCGTCTTATTGGAAAGTTGCTAACTTCAGGGTCATAATTTTTGAGCTAAAAAATTCTTAAAACAAATTTTTTGCAATTCTGAACTGAATTAAATCATTAAAATGTTGTTTCTTGATATGGATCAACTATTAAAAAACTCTTTTTCCTATTGAATAACACTTTATTGACGAAGTCGTGAGATCTCTTACATTTTTTAGATGAGACAAATGTATCAATTCATAGTCGTATTAAAATTTTATTTCGCCAATTACTCGTATGCGCAATCACGCAAACTTATTAATTATCTTTGTAGTATTTGAAGTTCTGTAAATTCCTACTGTACCGACCTCCCGCACCTTTACCATCAATATGGCAGACCTGTAACACCTTCTTGATAATATAATTTATATTATCCATTAATATCAGAGGGATCATTATTTATTTCTCCTTGAAAACTGATCCACCTTATCCGGACATCACAATTGGCGACGAGGATAAAAGCATTTTCGATTTTCTTTCGAAATTACGTGAGTAAAACTCAAATATTAAAGTGTGCACATTGCGCCTCGTGGTCAGCTTTATTAATCAGCATGGCCGCAGGACTACAACAGCAAATTGAACAGCTAAAAGCTGAAGTAGCTCTTAGAGATCAGAAATTAAAAGAGTATGCAAGTGCATCCATGAATGAAAAAGATCAGCTCATCGCTGACATGGACAGCAGATTGGACGTTCAAAAGAGACAGATAGCGGAGCTAACTAGTCAGGTCCGAAGTCGAAATTCATCAGTTGGATCCATTGAGGGGTACCTGAGGTCTACGGACTGGTGCCAGTGGTTACGTCGACTTGAACACTACATGTGTGGTAATGCAATTCCGGAGAGCAGAAGGAAGGATTTATTCCTTAATTTATTGGGTCCTGAGGGTTACGCCCTTATTTCAAGTTTAAGTGCTCCAGATTTACCTGGCAACAAAACTTGTGAACAGTTGGTCGATATGATGACAACTCATTTAAAGCCCAAACCAAGCGTCATCACGGAGAGATATAAGTTCAATATGCGTGAACAAACTGAAGGTCAGTTAGTCTCCGAAATTTCCAACGGTTTTGACAGATCAATTGGGTACAGACCCAATTAAGCCAGATAAGCTGGGTACTTTCAAGTTAGAGTTAAAAGAGGATATTAATCCAGTTCTTGCTAAGCCCAGGGCACTACATTACGCCATGATCAGCAAAGTTGATAACGAAATTGATAGATTAGTTGAAGAAGATATAATTTTCCCTGTAAAATCAAGTGATTGGGCGACACCTGTAGTTGCAATAATTTTAAGTCCAATGGACAATTGAGATTATGTGGGGATTACAAAATGACTTTAAACAAGTTTATGAAGATTGATAGACATCCAATACCTCGAATTTCTGATTTGCTAGCTAAAATTAACACAGGGAAGTGTTTTAGTCGGATCGATCTGAGTCATGCTTACCAGCAGGTGAAGTTGGACGATAAATCAAAATTATTGACAACGATTTCAACTCACAGAGGCCTTTTTGCCTATAAAAGACTGTGCTTTGGTGTTTCATCGGCTCCTGGTTTATTCCAGAGACTGATGGAAAAATTACTTTTTGGTATTTCTGGAGTCATAGTATTTTTTGATGACCTTTTAGTTTTTGGCTCCACCTGGTCTGAGCATGATGACAGATTACTAGCAGTTTTAGACAAGTTAAAAGTTTCTGGTTTAACAGCTAAGCTAAGTAAATGTGATTTTTTCAAGACTGAAACTAATTTTTTAGGGTTCAGAGTAGATGGAAACGGAATTCACCTGATGAAAGACAAAGTTCGAGCTATTGTTGAGATAAAGTCACCCCAAAATGTAACTGAGTTGAAGAGATTCCTGGGTATGGCGAATTATTACGCCAAGTTTATTAGAGATTATGCCCAAACTGCTTCACCTCTGTACTNAAAGTTCGAGCTATTGTTGAGATAAAGTCACCCCAAAATGTAACTGAGTTGAAGAGATTCCTGGGTATGGCGAATTATTACG